TTTGCGACTCGAGTGTACATTTCAGGATTGTCAACAACAAGTGCAACACTGTTAATACACTGACACAAGTTATGGCATGTTTTTATATTGCAAACAAAAACATTCAGCTTTTGTACAAAAGAAAGGATACATGAAGAGAATCAACTTTTAAAAGTTAAATTAAAGATACATAAATAGAAATTGATAACGACCTTGAACGTACCCTAACAACATATTAACTGACCTTTCTGAATGAGTGTATATTTTCACAAGCTCTTCAACTGAAGACCTTGAACCCCTCACAACATTTATAGCGCCAGTGGTCATTATACCTAAGGGATTCATTGCAATGACTTTTCTGAATAAAATAACTTACATTATGTAACAGTTTTTTTTTTTTCAAAAATATTACTAAAATAAAATTTATTTACACAAATATGACTAAAGATTACTATAATATAGTGTCATGGTCACTTAAGTTCAGTGTTTGAACATAAATTACTATGATTAAATTACTAATATAGTCATTAGTAATATTTAATTATTTGTATGTAATATAACATACTCCTTATTTATCTACTTTGGTTATTTTAAATTTAACAATGCATTAAAAAGTACATTGAATACAAATTTGAGGATTGATATGATGAGTGAAAAGGGATTACCTTGATCTGCAACTAGCCATCGGCATGAATTTTCAGCAAAAATGGCAATCTTTTCATCCGGTTTTAAGCCAATAACTCTAAGCCCTTCAGCAAAGTTCACTATTTCCATCTCAAGCTGTAGTTTCAAGAATAACAATAATAAAAGAAAATGGGACCGAATAAAAATCATTTGGTGCCAAATTAAATAGTAATGAAAGTTAAAACATTGAAATAGCTAGAAACATCCATATATAAGCATATCTATCAATATATCGCTATTTCTTTTCCGATGTATAAAAAAATCAATATATCGCTAAATCACTTCTTACATTATACTACGTAGTTTTAATATAGGGTAAATGCGTGATTTTAAATAATACGAAGTATAACAAACATCATACGTAGTACATGAACACTTTTTATAACACAGTTGGTTATTTAACCTATCAAAAACCGATATGAAACCCTCAAGTGACTCCATTTTAAAACATATTTTTTTTAGGTATTCATGATGGTTAAGTGATTAGCCGTATGTAAATAAGCTTATACTACGTATTATTTATGTGATAGATTCAAACCATTGTTATTGCCAGGGGTGGAGGGGACACCGTCCCCCCAAGAAAAAATTAAGATTTATATTCATATGTATAAATATTCATAGGCAGTAAGAAATATACTGAAATTTTAAACTTTGACCCCATATATTATATAAAATTCTTTAAACCCAGCCCCCTAACATATCATTTCTGGCTACGCCACTGTTATTGCCTAAAATCGACTTAAATTGATTTTCAAATCGCATGTTATTATAGATTGTTATATAACGTTGAAGGTCGGTATACCTTAAAGTTATATTCTTGTCCGTATCCAAAAAAGATTCAAACAAGCTGACCTGCTTATAGGTCATATTTGTTGGAGGATTGTGGTATTGGTCCACTAATGCGACTTGATTTCCGAACTTCTCTGCTGCCGTATTCCAGATATCGGGAACTGCTTTCCATTCAGATGATTGCAACGATTCATTCCCCGACAAAAACATGCTTTCTAAAATTGGTGAACACTTCCTGACCTGAATTTCCTTTATCTTAAAAGGAGCACCATGCATTTACTTGGGATTAAAACTATAATCCCCCTTCCGGAATTAATTTGCATAAAAAACACTAGACCAAGGATAAAATTACTCCTTACATGATAATTTTGAAATTGACGTTTTTGTCAAATTAATGTTAATAACAAAAATTTATATATTTATAGATTAGACTAAATTAAAAAAGGCTTCAAGTTGATACTAAAAAATAGAGAATAGAGTGAAATTAAAATGACCAAGAAAAGTAAAACATATGCACTAGGAGTTTGGTAAGACCAACAATGTTGCTTTGAAATAAAAGCTAACTATCATGCTTTTTATAAATTAAAAAATAAAAATTGGCATCAAATAATAAGCCCTAAGGAGAAACACCTCTGCCTTGCAGAAAACTCTAAACTTCTTGGTTCTAGAACCCCAATAATTTTGTTCTGATATCATTTTGATGAATCCATGATGGGACATTAAACCCTGCAAAGAGTGATTTGAGCCATTTTTGTTCAGAACATTAAAATGTACTGATTTAATGTTCAACCCCGCCATCTTTAACTTTGTTCATGCAAATACAGAGGAAGGCAGGCAAACTAGAGAAGAGTGTTTAACGAAATCTAATATAAGTGATGATAGAATTTGAGGGAATGACGAGTGAAAGAAGCAATGAAGCATGTGGAGAGAAAAATAAGCATTGCTTAAGTTAGAGTTAGTTGAAGAGTGCAAATTGAGTGACTTGCAGCATGTAAAGAATGCCATTCTTTGTTCACCTCCTTATAATAACACTTTTCTATTTTGATAATTTTGTGCATATGAAAGGTAAAGTCTATTCAGTTACATGAAAGAGAGAATTCTCCTAAGAATATGGTATGTGTGCAATGTCTTTAAAGAATACTCTCGTAAACATTCGTTTCTCTGTGAGAATATATATACCCCTCCATCCCTACTAACTTTGCCAAGTTTGACCAACACGGGGATTAATAAAGTAAAAACTGTGTGGTTGAGGTTTGTTCAGAAGAGAGAACTAACAGGAACCACAAATTCTTTACTTAAAAGGAAAAGTGTCAAATTAAAGTTAATGGGACATCCAAAAAAGGAACGGAGGGAGTACTATTGATTAAAATGTCAAACCAAGCATTCCAGCACAGCTAGTTGTGAGGTTACCGTGCCTAGTGGGAGGTCTCGAGTTCGAAACCCGCTAGACACATAAGGGTCCGAAACTCAATGGAGTGAGTTTCAGCCTTGATTACTCCAGCCCTCAAGACCCCTCTGGAGTAAAAAATAAATAAAAATAATAATAATAAAAAGATTGAAAACGTCAAAATAGAATCTACTAATTTAACTTCTCTTATTTATATATGTTATATGGCTATTTAACACTTTTTATATGTAGATAAATAAGGTAAAGTTCAAGAAAAATTCACAAAGATAATAATAATTAGAAACGCAATAAAAGTCCAAGATCTTAAATTAAATTAAAAAAATTTCAAACCCAAAAACTTAACGGTTAACGCCATTAGAAATCGATGAAGGAAGACAATGAACTTAACATTATTCATCTATATGTGATGAGGACTTTTAATTTTCTGTTTTTTACATAAAAATATAGCAAATGTCTTGTTAATAAATACGGAGTACTATTGTAGTAACCTTATTTGTACAAAAAATTGTTTTAACTCTCACATCTTAAACATTACTACCTCCGTCAACTAACATTGAAACATGAAGAGATAGTGCACTTATTAAGAAAAGTGAGTTTATGTGATTGATATTAAATTGATAAAATTAAAAATAAAGTAATAATGGTTTAGAACCACACAAACTTACCAAATTTAGTATGAGACGATTTTAGTGCAATGGACCGAAAAGGAAATATATGACAATTTTAGCGGGAAAGATGAAGTATTTAGCACATTCACTTTGTGCAATGTACTAGTCAAATTTTTAATCCAATAAACTAAACGTTGAAAAACCCCCATTAGATAGTACTCGGTAGTTCAAATTTGGTACCTAGAAATCTAGAATTGTTATTCAGTCCCGGTGGAATACTTGTATTCCACCTAGAAATCTATCTAGATAGTACTCCGTTAGTCGAATACTTGTATCACTTTGAATATTTGGTTGTTCCCGGTGGAATTTTTTGATGAAATTTATTGAACATCTTTTTTATTAAGTCTAATTTACTCATACCAAGTTTCAGCTACAAATTCAATCTGGAAGACAGTCAAATGAGTTTTTGAAGAGAGCTGCACAGTTAAACAGCGCAGTACATTTCAGAAAATCATTTGACTATCTTCTAGATTGAATTTTTATCTGAAATTTGGAATGGGTAAATTAGACTTAATGAAGAAGATGTTCAAAAATTTGCATAAAAAAATCCACCTGGAAATGGCAACGGCTGGACAGAACGTCCTATAAAAGAGGTGATTTGAACTTTTTAAGAGAGTTCGAGGGTCCATTTGACCCTTTTCCCTAAACCATATAATAATTACAATTAATGGTATTAAGTTTCTTTTCAGATTATTATGATAAAATATATAATGATAATTATAATTAATGGTATTATAAGATTTTCTACGATCAATATTTTTTGTCTCTCTAAATGCATTTAAACATCAATAGTCTTCATGATTGTTTTGTGAAAGGATTAAATACTATCTAAAATTTATACCGTATGAGTCTAGAGTTAAGTATGTATATAGGACTAAAAGTCTGTCCGTTTGAACAAATAAGACCAAAAAATAAACTTTATTTCATAGGACCAATTATGTATGTCTCAAACAAATATACTCTTCTAGCTATTGAAATGTTTTAATTCATAATAAAATAATTAAAAGAAAATAAAAAATCGTAAAAAATACTGAATATAATAATAAAAATATTTATATAATATCATTTTAAAGAATTTTAAAAAACACACAAAAAATAAAATAAAAAATCACTGCCGCCTCTGCCGCCCCACCTCTAATTATTGGGGAAAAATGCCACATGCATTAGGAATGCCATTTTTTGGGCATTTTCAGGAAAAAATGACACTTTTAGAAAAATGGTGGTGCAAGGCATGGAAAAGACATCCATATTTTTTTATTTTTATATTAAATATTTTCTTAGGTTATTATTTTGTAAATACTTTGTTAATTTTTTCTTATTTTTCTACGATTTTTATTATTTTTTACAAATTTATATGAATTAAAATATTTAATTATGACTTTTGACTACTTTTTACTCATATTTAAAAGATGGGTAAGAATGGAATGAAAAAATGAAAAATAGGCATGTTTCCAAATAGGATTAATATAGTCCGCCCAGACCCAATCCATCCCTTCACAGTTTATTACGGAGCTTTATCCTTATGGCCCATCAGCATTGTTTACGAAGAACCCGTGAAGTGTTTAGCAACTCATCTAATGCTCGTACAGTCGTACCAAATTGTTGCCCAGTAGCAATATATACATTTATAAATATATTAATTTATATACCATAACAGGACATCTACGACCAAGTTACCGGTAGGAACTACCAGACCCCTTCAATATCTATGCTGTGTCAAAATTTCAGTCTTTTTTGCAAATTACATGATCTATCCTCTGAACAATTCGCTGGACTGAGTTATTCCAATGAGACTTGTTTTGACAATGTCCTGGATGAGTACTAACTTGGCAATGGAAAATTTGTTTGCACACTTCCATTGCAGATTCTGTTGCACCCACCATGGCTTGTCACTATCTGCAAAAAAAACCTGTTCATTGTTAAAATTGGTGCCATTTAGACAGTATTTTATATTATCATAATAAAGCAGTTTATCATAACAGGTTTCAGTCGGGCCAAAATTTTATTTTGTAGGAGACCTTGTTTATACGTACTGTAACATCATTGTAACATAAGCATAAGTGAATATGTCAACTATTTATCGTTCATGTTACATTGGGGATAACACAATTTCCAGTGAAGATGTTCGCAACGCTATACTCGCGGTGTCTTTCACATCGTCTTCAAAAGCTTCATCCATTCACTCAGTTTCTGGTCTAGAACACGACTTTTGGAAGTCGTTGTGTCAAATGATGACACAACGACTTATCTAATGAATATCTAATGAATGTCGAGGTATGATAAAACACGCTCTACAATATGTATGTAACGAAAAACCTATCCCTCATTCATATCCCAAAACCACATATAGTCCTAATCTATTTCTTTTCTCAAAATGCGTTGAATCAACATTAAGACCAAAAATACCATTATGCTTACGCAATGTTAATCTTGATGTTTCCTCACTTGCGGCCTGCCATTCCCCTATACGACAGCCACCATCATAAACCCAACCCTCTCCAAAACATTCTCATAAACCTTCGAACAATAAATGCTTAGTAAATGCCTCTATAATTTCTTATATAATCTTCTATGTGTGCTAAATGGTCTTACCCATGTGAAGTGTAGGGAAGATTAATCAAGATGACCTTAATGTCTCTGAAAAACTAATTTTCTTACTTTCAATGTGCCTCATGAAAGCATTGCTAGATTTTGGTTTAACTAAACAATTGGAATCTGCGTTCCCAATATGCATCTGGCTACACAAAGCCGGAAACCAGTCTGTTAGGCATTTGGCTTATCAATCATCCAACACTCTCTAGCCAGCAATCCTCTAACTCCACGAAAAATAGAGAAAAATGGGGAATCACCCGCTTTCTTGCAAACAGGAGTATGGCGTTTTTTCAAATTAGGAGACAATACTGCAAAAAAGGGTTCTTACAATGGAACCAAAATAAGCTTCCTGACCTGTTAGCCTTATGTTCACTATGACAACCTCTTATTTAGATCCAAAACACAGTTTCACATACATTTGAGCAGAAAGGATATATTTGTTCTCCAAGGTATAATTGAAGCGTATTTTTATTCTTTAACATTGTTCATAATAACTAAATTGTTTTTGCAAGAAGAGATTATCTATGCTTACAAGATAAACACGAATATTGACAAACTCTTTGCAAGAGATGACAAAGATATTAATCTTAAACAAATTAAGTTCACAAAAAGTCTTTTATTTATCACACACATACAAATTACAAAGTCAATCACACCAAACACTTTAAATGCATCGTGACCTCAATTTCACAGATCCAAAAGAATTCAGCTCAAATCATATTACGTATTACACCAAAGGTTTCAAACACGAAATTACAAAAGTTGGTTTTGGAAAAGTATTCAAAAGTTGGGTATTGGGAGAAGCTGGTGAAGTAATTCATAAAATTGCAGATAAAGTGTCAAAAGGATTATCAACGAGATTTGGGAAAAGCTTATTTTTCTTTAACTACTTATTTTGGATGATATATTTTGGTAGTTAGACGAGCACTTTCCCTTAAAAAGTTAATTAGTAAGATTGTAGAAAAAGTGGTCTCAAAATAATCACTTTATTAAAACAGCGTTAACATATTTCAAATAAAAGAAACAAATTTAGAACTCAATGTGAGTATACTTGCATATTGAAGGTAACTTGTAGCCTTGTGTACTTGTGATATTACATTTCATAACTAAAACCTTTACAGACAGAAAAAATGTATTTGTGCACTCTAAGTCATTTCAAAATAATAAAACAAAAAGATATGCCTCAAACGACAGTTTCTACTTAGTATATGAGTACATGGAGCCATCAGCAACAAAATAACAAAAAGTAAAATTTTGAATAAAACATTATATATCACAAATAGATTTGCACCTTTCTTGGTGAGATATAATTTCTCTACACGAAAATTATGCGTTCAGGTTTGGATTGGAAACAAACCAAAAACATTGCATTAGGTGCAGCTCAAGCAATGCAACAACTACATGAGCACAACCCTTGTTTGATCTTTCGTGATTTCAAAGCTTCAAATATACTGCTTGACCAGGTTAGCCCGGTAAAAAATAACCAAAAAAGTCATTAATTATATGTTCTCTTGAAAAAGAATGTATGTATAATATTTCAATGTAAAATACTTTACCCTAGAAACAGCGGCAACAAAATATAGATAATATGAGAACTATAAGAACTTTCAATACTAATGATGGATTTTCCATATCTAAGATATTACAGTCCAAAGCTAAGTGACTTCGGAATTGTGATAATAGAGAATACATATCTGTCAGGTGGAACTCTCAGATATACCGATCCAGTAATGTAAACAAAACGTATGAGATCGCACTTTATATACGTTTTTCTTCACTTTTTCTACACATTGGGATTAATTAGTAGTTTAGTGAAATTCTTCACCACCCTCATTTATTCTTAAATAAGAATCCAATTCATGAAGTTGAGTTTTGAAATTATGGCACAATATGTAAACAAGAGTCTAACCAAGATTGCATCAGACAAACTTACAATTGAAAAATAACTAACCAAAAAGAAACATAAAATTTCAAATTTGGAAGTACGGAATGCAAATAAAATATTGATTCGGATAAAATTGAGATCACTACTCTATTCCAAAATGACAAAATTGTATATAAAGGTACCGAGATATTTAAAGTTCACTCATCATGTTGTGACTACTTGTTATTTTTATCAATAAATTATTAGCTACTTGATATTTTGGTTTAACAAAATTTCGTTAACACGATAAGATAATAAAGAAAAGGATGTGTATAGCATGGCAATTCTATTACTACAGCTCATTAAAGAAGTTGAATGGCCTTATTCAAATAAAAAAAGCGGTGCAATCAAGATTTCAAAGAAGAAAACGAGAGTTTCCTTCACACAAGTTTAAAAGGAATGATATGCTCTATAAAAGAAATCATTACTTCACCAGTACTTAGGTTAATTGATAAAGGCATTGAAAAAGACCGACTATATAAGAAGTTGTAGGCGAATTAAAGAAATTAAAAGCGATTGATAACTAAGGTCATGATCTACTATCCTTTTCTCTACTTTATTTATTTACTGATGAAAACATGTGAGGTTGAACCGTATCAACATGACATGTGATTCAAGAAATGATAGAATATCATGACCTTAGTTATTAATTGCTTTTAATTTCTCTAGTTCACCTATAATTTCTTAAATATCCAGTCTTTTTTCAATATCTTTGTCAACTAACCTAAGCATTTGTGTGGTAATGATTTTGTCTTCTTCCATAGAAGGCTTCATTTCCTTTAAGCTTGTGTGATGAACACTTTTGTTTTTTCCTTGAAATCTTGATTTCACCATTTTTTCAATTTGAACAGGGTCATTCAACTTTTTGATGATCAACTTTTTGATGATGAGCTGTAACAATTGAATTCTCATGTTATACACATCTCTTTCTTTATTACCTTTTCTTGTTAAGAGAAAAACTTTCGAACCAAAATATTGTGATACAAAGAATTTAGTAACAAAAATAGTAGCAATTAATTCATTAACAAAAATAACAAGAAGTCACAACTCTATGAGTGAACATTACAATCCCGAGTATTTTTATATTCAATATTGGCATTCTGGAATTCAATAGTGTAAACAATATTTCATTTGCTTTTCATAGTTTCATATTCAAATTCAATATTTCTTTCTAATTAGTTATTTTTCCAATCATAAACTTGTTTTATGTAGTCTTGATTAGACTCTTGTTTACATATTACACCCTAATTTCAAATTCATACTTCCAATTCTCACTTAAGAATAAATGAGGGTAATGGAGAGAACTTCACTAAGTATTAATAAGTCCCATGCGTAAAAAACTAAACGAAGTTTATATAAATTCTGATCTCATACTTTTGAATACATTACTGGATCAGTGTATCTGAGATTTTCACCAAAATATTATTTCTCTTTTGTCACAATTTCAAAGTCACTTTGCTTTAGATGGTAATCCTAAACATGGAAAATTCATCATTAATGATTGAAATTCATATAGTTCTCATATTATGTTGTGAGTGTTTCAAGGGTAAAATATTTTATATTGAAATTCTGCATAAATGCAGCCATAAACATTCGTTTTCGAGAGAACATATAATTAATTTTCTGATTTCATTTACAGGGCTAACTTGATCAAGCAATATATTTAAAGCTTTGAAATCTCGAAAGATCATACAAGGATTGTGCTCATGTAATTGTTGCATTGTTTGAGCTGCACCTAATGCGATATTTTTGGTTTGTTTCCAATCCAAACTTAAACACATAATATTCTTTTGTAAAAAAATTATCATCTTAGTAAAAGAGGCGAATCTATATGTTATATACTACCTCCGTAACGCTAGAATCTTCCCAGTTTGACTCTTTTGGGTCAAACTTTATGAACTTTGACCATTAATTATTCAAAACTCACATTATGTTATGATTAAAAATTTATTTTATATAACTCATTGTAAAACGTATTATTTGAATGTTAATTTATTATGAATTTTATAAATATAGATATGTAGATATTTGCAGTCAAAGTTCAACTTAGAAGACCTTGAAAAGTCAAAATGGGAAGATCTTTATGTTACGGAGGGAGTATAACGTTTTATTCAGAATTTTAGCTTTTATTTTGCTGTTGATGGTTCCATGCTCCATTTCCTCGTATACTAAAAAGAAATTGTCGTTTGAGACATATCTATTTATTTTATTATCTTAGGATGACATAGAGCCGACAAATACAACTTTTACCTCTCGAAGTTATAGTTATGAAATGCTACAAGTTACCTTGCATATGCAAGTATACTTGAGATGATAAGAAATATCTTTGGAATTTTAAAACAATTGTTTTACCCACATTGAATTTTAAATTTCTTTCATTTATTTGAAATATGTTTGTTCAGTTTTATTAAAGTGATTATTTTTTAGAAGACTTTTCTTATAATCTTACCAATAACCTTCTAAGAGAAAGCACTCGTTTTACAATTGCATGCAATTATTCCAACAAAAAATATCATTCAAAATAAATATTTTAAAGCAAAATGAGACATCTTAATTCCTAAATAACGTACTTCCCACTTTATCCTGAAACATTAATGGTAATTTTATGAATTATTTCACTGGCTTCTCCCAACATCCAACCTTTAAATATTTTTCCAAAACCATCTTCTGCAATTTCGTCCTTGAAACCTTTGATATAGTACATAATCTGACTTAAGCTCAATTTTTTTGGACATGTGAAAATGAGGTCACGATGCACTTAAAGTGTGCACTTAAAGTGTTTGGTGTGATGACTTTATAATTTGTGTGTGTAATTAATAAATGACTTTATGTGAACTTAATATGTCAATGATTAATACCTTTGTCATCTCCTGCAAAGCGTTTGTCAATGTTCGTGTCAATCTTCCTGCCAAAACAATTTGGTTATTATGAGCAGTGTTAAGGAACAAAAATACACTTCAATTATACCTAAGAGAACAAATAGAACCTTTTGACTCAAATGTATTTGAAACTGTTTTTTGGATCTAAATAATAGGTTGTCAATATCCGTGTTTATCTTGTAAACAAAGATGAACAATGTAATGGAACAAAAATACGTTTCAATTATACCTAAGAGAACAAATATTCCCTTCAGCTCAAATGTGTGTGGAACTGCGTGTTGGATCAAAATAATAGGTTGTAATAGTGAGCATGAGACTAACGGGTTAGGAAGCTTGTTTTGGTTCCACATTCTACGAAGTACTAACGTAGTAATATATTAACAAAGGTTCCTAGTAAGAAGCCTAAAGAAAATAAAAAATTGAAGATATAAAGGACTCACCGCCACATAAAGTCATTGTGTGAAATCTTAAATTTTAAAAGTCTAATACTATCAAAATATACACTATCCAGTGTTCCTTTTCCTTAAATAAAATACAATCACTATTTATTTAAAAAATCTAATCTTCAATTTCAATCTTTCAAAAGAAGAAAATAAAGTCACATTTTGGTTCGACTGGCTTACTCGGTCATAACTCAGTAGTTTCCATAACAATGAATATGTAAGCTACTTGGCCAGATGTATACTTGAGCAGCAAGTACTCGGCAAGTACTCACTAATTAGATATTAGAGATCCAATAAAAAAGTTTATCCATTGCAAACTATGATTCCGTAGCCTGGTGGTTCATTTGAATTTATATCCAGCACACCCAACCTGTAAATTCAGTTGTCCCACATGGAAGAACTCCCCACGGTCTATGATTCATTCTACTGCACTTGTGTGCTAATTTCACAACGAAACCATTTTAAATTGACCATTCAGATAAAAAATGACACAATGCTTAATAAAGGGTGTGATGGAGTACTGGAATGTGTGGAGTCCGAAGAGTAAATAAGCCTTATTGTGCAATGATGCGTAATAAAACATTATAAATTCCTAAATAGAATATTATAAATAAAACAAAAAAAAATTAAATAATGTGATAAAACAATCATCAGAGTTCTTTTTTTTAGAGTTCAAACATCACATAATAGAAACTACTTTCAATTTCATCAATCCTATTAATGTTAAAAGTTTGTTAGGATATTTTCACTTGAATCCAGTTCAAGCGAAAATGTTAAACCTGACTTAAACATGATAACATACCATACCCAGAACTAAAGACTAACCAAAACTGACTTACTCAGAATAGGCCAAGCTTAAAAAATACTCCTGGAAGTTGGAGTCGGGCATTTTTAGCGCTCTAGAGCCCCTCGGAATCACCTTTAAGTGTTTGGAGTTTTACAAGTCTCAGGCATTTTGCGGCCTGTCGTTCCCTTATGGCAACGATTCGATAAGTGTCTCCTTTTGGGCCTTCGATCATTTGGCAGGCCTCCGATTCCAGATTAAGTGGTCATAAAGGTCATCATCAACATCATCATCACCCCAGTGCCACAAAGGCTCCGGGAGGGTACATCCTTGCTCCTGTACTAAAGTGGTCATTAAGGTGACAAGGGGTAATTCGAGGGGCATGCTTAGAATCCGAATTATCAAATAAAATGTTCAGTAGATTAAGGCTCAGCTCGTGCCACCTTGGGGGATCATTACCCGCTAATAATGGTGATGGTAATAATAATATAGTATTATCAATAATATTGCATTATTAAAAACCTCTGGGAATTTTAACCCGCCATAATGGTCTCACCACCTCGGAGGATTTTAACCCGTCATAATGGTGGTGGAAATAATATAATATAATAATAGTAGCAATAATAACATTAACATTAGATAATAATAATAATAATATTTAAGCCTTTAAGGTTTAATGCATAAATTAAGAGTAACGGGTTGTTGGGTACTTAGCTCTTCTTGGGCTGAATTGTCATGGACTGATGTTGAAACTGTGGCCCACTAGCTTTGAGAATCAATCCTAGGCTTGAAGTAATGGAGTTGTGTGGGCTGGTGAGAAATTGGGCTTGACACTTTGACTCATTGACCAATTTTGACCCCTAGCTTTTGTCCATGAATTCTGTCCGCCCCAAATGCTGAGAAGACCTGGTCACGCTAGCTGGATGTAGCCCGCGGCTGGGAGCAGATAAAGATGGAGTCGCTGTTGGCAGTCGGAGAGGAAAGGGCCTCGATGTTGCTGGTTTGCTGCTACCTGGGTCGTGAGCAGAGAGCTCTCTCACAGCCATTAATGGCGGACGAAGACCATCGAGCTACTGTAACAGATTGTTAAGACGGTGGAGCGACCAGGACCAAGGCAAGAGGTGCTGCGACGGAAGCTGCAGGGCCTGTGCCCAGAGTCGCTCGTCACTCTCAGGAGCTCCAAGGCGGCCATTAATGGTGAAAACAAGCGAAAATCAGCAAGATGAAGAGCAAGCGGCGCCCAGAAGGTTGTCAGGTGCTCTAGGCCACCGATTCGCAGGGACCTCCTCTGCTCTGTTACAATACCCTGGGACAACAAAGATGCTAAACCAGCTGCGTCAACACGAGCTGAAGCTGTGCGCAGAATGGCTGGTGGCGGCGGCCGGCGAATGTGTTCCTGGCGGCGACATCCTCCTTCCCAGATCTGGATCCAGACTTTTTCATTTCTTGATGTTTCTTTAGATTTTCCAGAATAAATTTTGGCTGGATTTTTTTGTAAATGGACGATTATTGTATTTTTAGGAGGAATCTAAGAAACTTGAAGTCTCAATCAAATATCAAATGATGGATTAGAGTTTTGAAAGTGGAGAAGAAGGTGAATTGTGTTGAATGTTGTATTGAATGTGGGTTCTATGTTCTAGATTAACAAGATCTCCACAAGGGGTATAAATAGAGATAAAACGGGCCGGACAGCTAATATGGGCCTGGTAGGCTCAACTATATAAAAGTTTAATTTAGTACATACAAATAATGAAATAATATAAAACTGTACAATAATGTAAATGTTATCCGGTAAGCGTGTGTCGGCCGCTATTCAACCTCAATAGTTGAGAGAACCAGAGATCCAAGTCTATGGGGTGTTTGGAATTGATTGTGCTTATATTTCTTTTTTAAAGGTGAAGCAGAATCAGTTTTCAGAACCTGATCTCCCCCGGTTTCTAAAAATACTGATTTTAGAGTAAATTAGAACACTAGAAACACTTCTACACTTTCATCCAAACACTCCGACTTCTACTTCTGCTCTCTGCAGGAGAAGAAACAGTTTTAAGAATCAGATCCAAACACCCCCTATGTACTTTATCAATATATATAATTTTACCAGCTAGAGATGTATGATTCAAATTTTTTCTTAGATAAATTCAAGTGATAAAGATATGATTTCAATGTTAAAATATATTTTTTCTTACATATCTCAGTTACTTTTTTAAGAAATAAATCTGGAGTAACAAAAAAATAAACTCCAAAATTATTTATTTTTACACCGGAATGTTTGACTTCTTAAATCATAAATATTGGTAAAATAAAATTATCACAAAAATGATGTGTAATAAAAAAAAAGGATTTATGCATCTATTTTTAAAAAATGTGGTGAGTGAATACATTACAGTTGGAATTCATAGAAAAACTGGATTGATTGGGTGAATACATATAAAGTAGGGGGTTAGATTTATTGACGGATTGGATTGCGATTAGCCTCATGTTGTACTAATACCACCCTGTAAAGTTTAAAGTGTAAGCCAGTATATGTACTTTTGTACTGCTACGTATAAAGTACTCCCTCCGTCTCTTTAACTTTGTCTCATTTTATCTTTTTCGTTCATCCTATTACTCTTTGTCCCAAAAATAGTGGGACGGAGGTAGTATATTTTATTCAAGCGGACTCGGGCCAAACTTTATTCAAACAACCCTGTTATGGGTACCCCAATTTGTACCTCAAGCTATTTTCATGGCTCACAAAAGTCCAACTCAATAAATGAATTGCTCCACATTAATGAAGTGCTTTTGTGAGCCACAAAAATAAGGTGGAGTACAATTGGGGGTACCAATTGGGGTAGGTACCTTTAGCATTTTTCAAATTCAAATATCTGCCCATTGTAGTGGGTGGACCCGACCCGCTACCACGGGCCTCTTCATGCACCTAATGTACGGGTCCAAACAAGGGAGATGGTCCAAGCCAGAGAAATGCCTTGACTTAGGTGCTGCACTGCTGCTACTCGAGCTCGAGATCCAGCAGTCTCCGGCTGAGGTTTCGCCGGTTGTAGTTGCATTGGAAACTATCGATGTTGCTGCGGTTTGAGTCGTGAGCTAAGCTCCGGAACAACCATTAATGGCGGGAGTTCACCAGGCTCAGGGGCGTGCTGCGATGAAAGAGGAGGGAAACGGCCTACTGGCTGGAGAAGTGTCGGGGACCACTGCCTGACAGCAGAAACGGGTCGCCACCTACGTCTGGCGGCGTTGTGCGCAGAGAGTCGCGGTTCTGCGGAGGAGGTGGCGGAGCTCCGCCTTCAACAGATCCTCATCCCAGCTCAATCCCTGTTGCGCAATAGCATGTTAATCAGGGCAAAAATTATCTGTTGTATTATTAAGAGAGTATGTGGTGTATTTATACATGTGTTGGCCGAAAATATTAAAACCCTTGGCCCAAATACTACAAACTAGGCTATAAACATAGTAACATCTATACAAGCCCATAATATATGATCTAACACCCCCCCTCAAGTTGGAGCATGGGGATTAAAGATGCCCAACTTGCTAAGTAGAAATAGAAATTGACGTTGTCCAAGAGCTTTAGTAAAAATATCTGCCAATTGCATGGTGGTAGAGACATGTCGGGCTTCCAAGAGACCTGCCTGAATAGCATCACGGATATAGTGACAATCAACTTCAATATGTTTCGTCCGTTCGTGAAAGACGGGATTATGAGCAATATGAAGGGCAGATCGACTGTCACAAGACAAAGTCATGGGAGATGAATGTGTGATTCCGAAAGAGTGAAGAAGTCCGTGGAGCCATTTAAGTTCTGCAGTGACAGCCGCCATGGAACGGTATTCAGCTTCTGTAGAGGAGCGAGAAACTGTGTGTTGCTTCTTAGTCTTCCAAGAAATAGGAGAATCACCAAGAAAAATTACCCATCCAGTTAACGAGCGACGAGTGAGAGGACAGCTCGCCCAGTCTGAATCACACCAGGCCATGAGTTGCAAAGTAGAAGAAGAGGAAAGAATAATGCCCTGACCGGGTGAACCTTTTAGATAGCGGACAACCCGCAAAGCAGCATGCCAATGTTCTTGTCGTGGGGCCTGCATAAACTGAGACAGAATATGCACAGAATAAGCCAGGTCTGGACGAGTAAAAGAGAGATAGATAAGCTTGCCCACAAGACGCCTAAAGGACTCCGGGTCGGTCAGCAGATCGCCATTAGCCAAGGCGAGAGAGTGATTCGGTTCCATGGGACAGGAAGATGGCTTAGCCCCAAGCAGACCAGCCTCAGAAATAATATCCAAAGTGTATTTGCGCTGACAAAGAAAGAACCCGTCCGGACTACGAGCCACTTCAATACCAAGAAAATATTTAAGAGGACCCAAATCCTTCATATGAAAGCAGGTATGCAGATACTCCTTGAACTGAGTGAGAGGAGAGGAATTATTTCCAGCAATAATTAAGTCATCAACATAGATTAAAATATGCAAACACACAGCGCCCCGTTGATATGTAAACAAAGAATAGTCAGATTTGGATTGAGAAAATCCGTACGTTCGCAGTGCAGAAGTTAACTTAGCAAACCAACATCGGGGTGCCTGTCGCAGACCATATAATGATTTCTTTAATTGACAAACCAGAGTGGGCCGAGAAGGATGAAACCCAGGTGGAGGTTTCATGTAAACCTCATCACCTAAGTCACCATGAAGGAAGGCATTATGCACATCCATTTGATGAACCTCCCAATTTTTAGTGGCAGCAACAGCTAAAAATACACGAACAGTGACCATTTTGGCCACCGGTGCAAAGGTTTCAGTGTAGTCAATACCTTCTTTTTGGTGATTACCAAGCACTACGAGCCGAGCTTTAAGGCGCTCCACCGTCCCGTCAGAATGATATTTTATTTTATATACCCACTTGCAGCCAAGAGCCCGTTTGCCAGGAGGAAGCGGAACCATATCCCATGTTTTATTATTTTCAAGAGCTTGTATCTCTTGCTGCATCGCCATACGCCACCCGGGGTCTGTCATGGCCTCTCGAAAAGAAGTAGGTTCTTGTCCTGCAAGAACAGCTCCGAGAAACATGCGATGACGAAAAGAGAATTTTTCACAATTTAAATAATGTGCTAAGGGATAACGCGTACCTGAGGAACTGAGGCAAGCAGATGACGGCGAAGATGGGCTTAATTTCCGTACATGATGAGAGACAAAGTCCCGCAATAAAACAGAGGATCGTTTGGAGCGTAGGCCTCGTCCCAGTGGCTGAGATTCTGTATGTATGGTGTCGGTATGGACGTCCGAGGCTGCATGGGTATCTTCGCCTGCATGGGAGGGTTCCACATGCGTGATCTCATCGGCTGCCATATCAGCCGCGGTGGCTGCTGGCACGATCGGGTCATCGTGTACAACCTCGGGGGGAGCAGTTTCAATAGTTGGAGCAGCCACCTGTTGTGCAAATGGAAAGACATCCTCATGAAATAACACATCCCGAGAAACAAAAATAGCTCCCGAAGCAAAATCATAGACTTTCCATCCCTTCTTCCCGGAAGGATAACCAACAAAGACACATTTCCGACTGCGAGGATGAAATTTATCACCACGAGACTTAAGATTATGGGCAAAACATAAGCACCCAAAGACCTTCAGGTGATCAAAATCCGGAACATGACCAGTAAGAATTTCAAATGGTGTTTTGCCCTCCAATAAACCAGAAGGAGTTCTATTAATGACATAAACAGCCGCTAAGATGCATTCCCCCCACAAGAATATAGGGATAGAAGCTTGAAACATCAATGCCCGGGCCACATTCAAAATGTGACGATGTTTGCGTTCAACTCTGCCATTCTGTTGAGGTGTCTCAACACAGGATGTTTGAAAAAGTATGCCATGGGCATCAAAATAGGGTAACATGCACCGGAATTCAGTCCCATTGTCACTACGCACAGTTTTCACAGATTGCTGAAATTGTTTTTCAACCATGGTGATAAAGGACACAAAGTAATGGAAAACTTCCTTTTTATCACGCAATAAATAAACCCACACAGCTCGGGAAAAATCATCAACTAATGTCAAAAAATACGTGGCGTCACAGGTAGATGGAGTTCTATAAGGACCCCATAAATCACAATGTATCAATTCCAGAATACGACAAGCTTTATGATCACTAGTAGGAAAAAAATCACGGACTTGTTTGGCCTGCGGACATACCTCGCAGGTTTTATTTAATGCTTTCTTAGAGCAACTAGTAACAATATGAGGTAAAAATTTAAGTACTCGATCGGAAGGATGCCCCAATCGACGATGCCACAACTCGAAATCTGACAAACCCGACTTGTGAACCGCATGCACTACTGGAACTCCTTGGAAGAAATAAAGCCCATCTCGCCTTTCACCGGCTCCAATCAGGTTCCTCGAGCGTGGGTCCTGAATAGCACAAAATAAATTAGTAAAAGTTACGGTGCAGGCAAGTTGATCAATTAATTGAGAAACAGATATCAAATGACAGTTCAATCCGGGCACATAAAGCACATGATCAAGTGCCAAAGTTTTGGAAAGATACACTCTTCCCTCTAGCAATGCTGCCACGGTCCTCCCATCGGGCAGTCCAACAGGACACGGCCGAATATGGTTACGGTTTGTAAGACAACTTAATTCACCTGTCACGTGATGG